GGCCTCCCTCTGAAAGGCAGCTACACTTTGGGAGCTTTCTCCACCGTTTCACAGCTGGCTCAGGAAACACAAATTTTTGCGAGATAATTGTTTTGTGTACTGTCTTAATTATTTTTTCCTTACATAGGAAAACTGAGCCTTAAAAAAATAAGGTTTTTAGCTGTGCGAGGTGGCACACTCCTATAATTCCAGCACTCTGGAGGCTGAGGCGGGAGGATCCCTGTGAGTTCGAGACCAGCCTGGGCTACATAGTGAGTTCCAAGTCACTCTCAACAACATAGTGAGACCCTGTCCCAACCCCCCAAAAAGATATAAGGTTTTGCATTGTTTTGCTTTTTGTATCTATTTGCTTTTTGAGCCTTTTAATGGTCTTTGGCTAACTGCATGACTTATTTGTGACATTATAATACCACTTTCAACAAAACTTTTGACATTTTGGCAGCCCTCCTCAGGACCAAAGTTCTAAAACAAGTCTATTTGACCTAAAACTGACCTTGAGGTTTTTCAGCTTGGCCCCTGGAGAACCTCAGAGGATGTGTCTTTTATCTGTAAAGATGAAAAACTAGGCAGGCTTAGCTGGTATGTTATCAGTATAAATGTCCTAGGAACCCTGAGAAACGTGTACAGTCTGAAGGCCCTGGTGTGATGTGCTCAGTCTGCTATTCTAAGGTGCAATGTACAATAGAAACTGGCATTTCCTTGCTAATTGCTGAATTCTCATCACAGTTTTAACCACGGTTATTCTGTCTTTTCTTATCACCAGTTTTGATTCTTCTCTGGAAGCTTTTATAGTCAGATTTATGGAAAAGCCTCTGACAGATACTCTTGAATACAGGTTTCTGATAACTAAATAGAAATAGAAATTCCCAGAAGTCTGATGAAAAACCGATATGGGTCCCGACCTTGGGAACGAAGATGAGGCAGAACAAGATTTAATACTGTAAGGCTGAGAGAACTGGTAAGTTTTATAGAATTTTATCTTTGTTTGAAACCTGGTTGGTTCTTAAATATTTTTGTTTGCTAGATTTAAGAAAATTTCTTTCCTATGCTAGCTATAGTTTACAGCAATTTGTAAAATATAACTTTGTAAACAATTCTGTAATCACCAACTTTTTTCCTCCCTACTTGATTCTTCCAAAATTCAGAAACTGTCTGTGTTGCTATTTTTCACAGCAATACCTTGTGTGTACATGACTCTGTTCTCTCTGTAATGATGTACAACTGGAAATTCTTGCCTTCTACCGGGAAGCTTCATGTTGGAATGTGCACAGGATGCTTGGGCATCAGAATTCCTAACCTTCAGCGAGTAAACAGAGCTCTGGAGATCAGGCTCTGCAGCCCAGATCCAGTTTCTGCTTTAGTTTGGCTTTCTGGCCCCAGGAGTTTTTATGTCTGTGATTTTTGCATGGCAAATAAGATTTCTTGTTGTATTTATGTAAATAAGTCAAATCTGATGAAACTAAATTCATTTGACAAGTCAAAAATATTTTCTTTGGTAAGAATCAGTGGGACTACAGAAAACTTATGGGTGTTTCTAAAAAAACAAACTAAATATATCTGTTATCAGCCTATAGTTCATTGTTTTCTAGTTTTTATTACCTACCTGCAGATTGGACTGGATCCTAAATTCTAGTTTTCTTTATTTCTGGCTACAGCTGTCCAACTAAGATGAGGAACTGCTCTTTTCTAAAACCTTCTAAGCTGGAGCTGGACAACTTGAGGTAAATTTCGAAGCGCAAACCATGTGCCCATGTAGGACCTCTCGGAAACTATCCCATAGCCAGGGCCATGGAAACAGCAAGTCAGCATGGGCTTGATGTCAGAACCAGATTCTGTATCATGACAAGACTCCTCTAACCTTCCCTTGCTCCATGCCTACCTTTCTTACTCAGCAGGGTGATGACATAGAGTTTCACAATCAATAGCTACTTTGGCTAACGTGACAGAACCTGGCCTAAGAAACCCTTGTCCACATAGTGGATAATTTGGCAAATTCCTGTTGCAACTTCTTGTCCAAAATTGTACTAGTGGTCCATTTTAATAATGATTTCCTAATTCTACCCCGTCATGAGTTAGTAAATGGTAAACATGCTCTGGGGTTAAATGAGAAAAAGCCTGTGCTATTGCTAGTATTACATGCTGTCCCTGGATAAAACCCTCTGGGGAAACTGAGGCTGACAGAGTAAAACAGCTCCAGCTGGCCTCATCAGCTGCCCACTGTTGTTGGCCTTGTTCATTTGGTTACCTTCAAACCTGGATTCAGAGCACAAATCATTATAAAACTTGAGGGTTGTAACCAGGTGTGGTGGTGCATGCCTGTAATCCTGGCCCTTGGGAGGCTGAGGCAGGAGGGTAGCTTTGAGTGTGAGACTAGCCTGGGCTACACAGTGAATTCAAGGCCTGCTTGCACTACAAAGTGAGACTTTGTCTCAAACAACAACAAAACAAAAACAGAACACCAAACAAACCTGAGGCTATCTGATGACCATTCACATCAATTTGTACTATTTCATTTTAGAGCTGTACTTGCTATCTGCCAAATCTCTGTAGAAGTATAATTCTTAACAAAGTAATGTTGGCCCAGCCCGCCTCATGATAGCCAGCACCTGATGAGGAGCTTTGTGATAACTTCAGGTCTTTGTGCAAGAGAATTCCCCCGCACCCGGCTTCCTTCCTGCCCAAAATGTGACTAAGGGTCTTGATACTGATTCCTAGAGGTTCATCTCTGCCACACACCTCACCATGGGATCTGACCAACAGCAAGATACAACTGAGCAGGGACACCAGCTATGCTCCCTGGCTGGATTCTGACATGTCCAGGGGAAGACGGAGAACCCAGCACCCACCTTCTAGGATCCATGGGATCTCAGATGCAGGACCTTGTCCAGTTCTGAGCTGGGGTCCAGGGAGATCATGCTTGGTCTGCATCTTTGTGGGAGTGTGTCCTGCAGGGAGGCTCTGTCTCCTGAAGTGATAGTCGTGAGCCCACAATGCATTTATGGAGTCTGGGACCAGATGGGCTCTCAGGCCATTGGCTTGGGCCCTGCACCTTCCAGAGGTCAGTCCCACGTCCTGGCACAACCCTAGGCCCATGGCAGCATCCTCTTTCATCCACATAGGACAGCCTGGCCAGGCGTCTGAGCAGAGGGGGCCTGCAGGCCAGGATACCCCCATTCCAACCCCAGCCTGAACCTTGGGGATTGAGTGTTCTCCCTTCTGAAAAGATGTACGTTTGTGGCGGCTCAGGGAGCAGCTGGTTTCCCACAGTCTGCTGGTTCTTGCCTTACACTCAGCATTGGCCTGTGCTGAGGTCCACCTGTGCAGAAGTCTATTTGCTTTCAGGGTCCACCTGTCCTGGAGTTCACCTGTGCTCAAGGTGTTCAGGTTCCACCTGTGCTCAAGAATGGTCTGGCTTAGCTGCTGCAGCTACTTTGTGAGACGATACCCTTTGTGAACATAAACAAAGATGGAGCTCAGTGGGGCAGGTACTGAGAGCAGCTCCCTCTCCTAAGCAGGGGCATTGGTCCTTCATGCGAAGGCCCTTGGACCATGTGCTCAAACTGCCTTCCACACAAAAGCCCGAGCTGCTTGCACTCTACACAGAGGTGCCAGCTGGATGGGGAACCTCAAGCCCAGCCCTTGCAATGCTTTTGTGTGGTGAGGCTCTGATGGAATCCTGTTTGCTGTTCCTCCAGTGTGAGATTAATGAGACCAGCACAAGCAGGGTTTTATAGGTGTCAAGGGAGCAGGCACTGAGCCATAGGCCACGGATGAGGTTCCCTAGAGGCCAGTTTTAAGTAGGCATCAGCATGGGGCTTGGAGAGATGGGAAGGGCTGCAGGACACGGACGACCCGAAGGACGGGACCAAGGACAGAATGGCAGTTTGAGTGACCCGAAGTGCAGGGTGGGCAAGGGCAGCAGGAGGACATCCAGGCTCAGGGAAGCCAGGGACACGGCACTGCCTTTAGGGAGTGTGTGCCAGGGAGAAAAAGTGGGAGTGAGGAAGGGAAGATGGGAGAAAAGGAGCAAGCAGGAAGGAAGGAGAATAACGCACCCCAAATTTCTTGTTTTCCTGGTAATTCGTGCTCCCTGATATTCCATGTGACTCAGGGTGACCCGTTTCTTAAAAGGGAGTGAAGACCAAACTAATCCTGGAGATTACTACATTCAGGTCGCTGGACAGCAGCCTGCGTTTGGTTGGTAAGTGTAAGAGGATTGCCACCACTGCTTCCTCCCCAGCCTTCTACCCTGGGCCAGGAATGAGGGCACGGGGGAGACTTTCCAGGTGCACAGGAGCTGAGGTGGCCTGGCTCCCTCGGGGAAGGGAGGACAGTGAGAACAGGGACAGGAAGAGGGCAGGGCGAGCCCCTACCCAGTCATGATGCCCGCCCCAGTCACACCTTGTTAAATCAGCCCCAGATCGGCAGTTTCCACCGCTCTCTCCTTGCCTCCGTGGCCCCTAAATCTCTGGTCACTCACTCCCCGCAGCATCACACCCGATTCTGGCACCGCACCAGCATGGTCTCCTCTGGGACAAAGCTGCTTCTGCTTGGTGGGAGCTGGGCACCCCTTTCTGCTGCCACGGTATTGGCCCAGCTCTGACCCCTTCAGGGCCCACCCCAGGTTGCTGACCCTCCTAAAGCCCCAGGCCCCACAGTCCACAGCAGAGGACTCTGGCACCTCCTGAGGTTGTGCCTGAGTGTGCCCAGCCTGGGGCTTAAGCAACAGGCTCTGCTTGAGAAGTGTCCCAAGGTGGAGCCAATGCAGGAACCCTCTTCCTGAAACCTGCAGTAGCAGGGCCCTCTGCAGAGCTTCCTGGAGCTTCTTCTGCCAGAAGTGTAATCAGTCAGCTCTGGGAGGGACTGGCAGCAGCTGGGTGCATGTGACCAGGGCTGGTGGGGAGGGGACACTCCCAGAACTGCAGTCCCAGAGCAGTCTTTTAGGCCCAGGCCAGAAGCTCAGAGCTGACCCTGAGGGCCCAGGGCTGGCGCACACCCACCTCTGTCACGTCCTGTACGTTCACCATCTTCTTCGTCTGGGCCACATGGCCAACTACTCCGATGTCCAGGGGGAAGACGATCTCAGAGTCGGGTGGCACTAGGCAGTCTTCTAGGACCCTGCCCGGCTGCACACTGAAAAGCCGCGTGGCGAGCTCAGCCACACCATTGCGCTGGCGGTACATGAAGAGGCTGCAGCAGTCTGCATGCAGGAGGGTGCAGAGACGTTGCAGGATCTTGAAGACCACATGCTCCATGTTGACACTCTCCTGCATGTCCTGTACCAGCTCAAACAGAACCATGCTCTCCTCCACCTGACACAGCTCCCGTAGGCTGCCACAGTCTATCCGGCGCCCGTCCCCGCAGGCTGCAGCCGCATTTTCAGGGCTCAGCTTTTTCTCAAAGTACTGGTGGGCGAAGTCAGGGTTCCTATCCAGGAAGTCACGTACCTGCTCCTCCCTGAGGCTCATCATGTCCCCTCTGTTCTCCAGCCACTGCTACTTTGGGTGCACACGGACTCTTCAAAGTCCCTCGTCAGCAAAGTCTTTCTTAGTGATGATTAGGGAGACCAGGAGGCAGCTGACTCACACTGGAGAGGGGCCTGTCCCTGCCACCCTCAGGCCACAGGTGTCACCGCCCCTGGGAAAGCTGGGCCCAGAATGGGGCTGGGGTCTTGGGCAGCTGAGGGCAGGCGTGTGGCCTCTGGGGATCAGGATGAGACCAATCCCCCGAGGAAGTGACCCAGGACTCTTACTGCCTGGGTTTTGGTTGGTTCTCCTGGATGTCCAGGCCTGGGCTCAGGTGTGCGGGGTGGACGATGGGCACTGGCCCTGCCTCAGGGGACGAGGACACCTAAGGAAAGGATTTCAGGGTTGGGGCACCAGCTGTGGGGAACGGTGTCAGCCCAGGACCCACCCATGCTCTCCCGTGTCTGGCTCTTGGACCAACACCGCCCAGGTCTCAGCATGAAGGTGGTGTCACCAGGCAGCTGTGGTGTCCCTGACCTCCTGACTAGACTATGGAAAAACTGGCTCAACTTCTCGGGCACCTTGGAGTGCTGACCCACAGCAGCCCTGCATGTGCCATGTGCCACACAGTGGAGAACCTGAGGTGTCACGTCTGCGTCTGGGGATGCTCAGATGGCAGCAGGTTCTCCAGCGGTGGCCTTAGCCACCTGACTCTGGTGCCATGCAGAAATTCAGCTATGAGTTGTGATGTGGTGACAAAAAAAGGCTAGGTCGGACTGGAGGGCACAACACCAATCTATCCCCCTCTTGTAGAGGCTGCATAGACTGCTCAAGGGGGGTATGCATGGGTGTGCATGTGTGCGTGCGCCTATATGTGAGCACATGGGTGAGTGCTCACAGACTGCAGGAAGACTGGGGTAGCAGCTCTGACCTCGGTGTGAGTCAGCACAGCACACCTGGTTGTGTCCTCAGCAGAAGTTTGGTTGGAAGGATTTCTGGGCCCCTCCTAGGCAAGGACCAGGAATCTCCCACCACTGGTCTCCAGTGAGGGAAACTTCCTGGAACTCGTTCTCACTGGCCTTTTCTATGTGGCCTGTTCTTTCAACTATGATGCAGGGTCTGTGTCTGATTTGGCTGGTAAAGACATGCGTATGTTTGTTTGTGCACAGGATGCACGTGCTTTGTGTTTTCCCAGCGCAGGACCCTGCTCCAGCCCCTGGCACTGGAGGCTGCTCCAGCCTGGGCGGCTGACTGGACATCATGGCCTCCCATTCACAATGGCCCAGCTGGCCAAGCAGGGCTGAGCCTGTTCTGTGATGTTCCTGCCTCCATCCATCAGGGATTTGCTTGGAGGTCTCCCCCTTTTCCTAAACAGAGTTCAGGCTGAGGACAGCGCAGGAGTGGAAGTGGGGTGGGCCCAGGTTCTGCGGTAGACAAGCATCGTGGGATCTGGGGCTGGTGTTGGTCTGGCTGAGCCGGCTGTGCCTGGGCTGAGGGAAGGAACCAGGTGGCTGGGAGAAACGCTTCCTGAGCACGGGATTAATCCTTCACAAGTCTCCTGTTACTTTTGTGGCATTGTGAGGTGGGGTTTTCAAGTTAGCCAGTGTGTCCTGGGTCACCCAGGACTGTGTGTGGTCAGTCACCAGTTGTTACTAGAGCAGGACTCTGGCTTCTTAACCCAGACTAGAAAGGAGGGGTGATATGTTCTGAGATTAAAATCAACCAGTCTGGTGGAAGTGGGGAGGAATTAGGCCCGGGGCCAGAACCTACCACCTAAGCAGAGGAGGGGCAGCTTCATGACTTCTGGGTCTCAGGAAGCACCTGGGTGCAGGAAAGGACAGGAAGGGGGGCAGCCCCGATGCCTGGCAGTGGACCTCTGCCGGGCTCTTGGCTTCTGGGCCTCAAGCTTCCTCAGGCTGTGTCCTCAACTGTTTGCTGCTAAGAAGGGTGATGGAAGTATATAGCAGATGCCAGTGGACCCCAACAGGGCCAGAAAGCCAGGGCTGGGTAGGTCTGCAGGAGGGCCACAGGAGGCTATGTCAGACAGGCAGGACAGAGTGTCCTGTACTGGCTGTTCGGCTGGCATCCCTCACTCAAGACCACCTGACCTCACAGTGAGGGTCCTGCAGGCTGCCCACACCCCTCTGCTGGGGACTTGGGAGGCTGGCCGCATGCAGGGCTTGGGCAGGGCTAGCAGTACCCAGAGGACTCCTCCATGGGTGTCCCTCACTCTTCTTCCCAGGTCTGGACTGGGCCAGGGGATTGTGCCTGGATCAGGACGTCCCTCTGGGTGTGGCACACAGGGCAGGAGGTGGAACACATGTTTCCTGACAGCCTCAGTCTCTGGTCCATCCAAACAGCACTGTGCTGACCCAAGGGTACCCAAGGCTGTCTGGGAGTCAGATTGCAGACAGAGTGAGGTCTCCGGAGTGCAGAACCACCTGCCCCACATACATCCATGCCCACTCTTTCTTAAAGGTACCCCAGGCCCCTTGATGTTTCCTCTGTTTTATTCCAGGCTCTAGAGATATAACTCCCATAGTGGGGCAACAGTTATTACAGAATCTTAGAGACAGGTGCACACATCCCCATGCACCCGTGGCCAAGACAAATCCAGCTGCCCTGGGTGGCCTGGCAGGGGAGCTTTGGTGTGCCTGCAAGTGGGGAGCCAGGAGGCCTGGGAAGGGTTAGGGGGAGGAATAGGCACAGTGGTGAGACTTGGAGAAGGGCTGGAAGTTTGCCCTGGAGACAGATGCTTCTGCCAGCCAGACATTGCTGGCTTGGGGAGCCAGTCTTCAGAAGTGCTCTGGCTTTGTAGCCTTGTGGGTTTGTCCAATTTTCCAAGAGTGAGACTTGGTCACAGGCTTGGTGCTGGGTGAATCTTCGATCTGCACTTGGTGGGGTGCTCTTGGCAGAAGGACACGGGGGCATCCATCCTCTTGTGACCGGGCTGTTCTCTGTCTCCCACCTACCTTCTGCAAAGGTTCCTTCTGCTAATAATACTGTGCACTTTTGTGTCTCTGTAAAAAACTGATGAGGCATGGAGTGTGGTGGTGGTGGTGGGGAATCTTGTCTTTGGAAACCAGAACAGAGGGCGCAAAAGGCAGCTAGGGAGAAGTGAGTGTGGGTTGAGGTAGGATGGGGCTTCCATTTTTCAAGGCAAGTATTTCGACTCTCTCTCTCTCTCTCTCTCTCTCTCTCTCTCTCTCTCTCTCTCCTTTTT